CTTCGTGTCCACTCCCTGACCACTGGCCCCTTCTGGGGCGGGCTGTGGTCCTTTCTCTCCAGGCTTGGAGTGGGTCTTGGCTTGAAGCTGGGATAATTTTTGTCCTGCCCGTTTCCTCGTCCCTCCGCCAGGACCTCTGAGCACTGCTCTCAGGCCCGTGGGAACAGAGCCAGGTGCTGCAGCTGCCAGGAGGGCCGGGCGCACGCCCATCTGGGCTGGGGGGTGCTGAGCCCCCGCCCACCCTCACTGAGTGCTGCCCCCTCCCTCAGCCTTCGACCCCTTGCATGGCTGCCGAGGGCTCCTCTGGAATCTTACCACCTTGCGTGATATCTGACACGAGCTCAAGCAGACGCAGGCATGGGTTTCACGCTCAATTTTAACAAAGCCTGAGGTCTGAGCTGCACTCCTGACGCTGAGCAGGATAGGGTCCCCTGCTTCGTCACTGTGCTCTTGTTTTTCAGGGGCTCTGCATGGGAGGGCTTTGATGTTTACGTGAGGTTCTAGAGGTGCCACGGGTGCCTGGCCCGTGTGGCCAGCATGACAAGGGGGCTGGGGAAGCGGCCACCCTGGGCTTGTCAGGGAAGGTCCCCTGGGAGCTGGGAAGGCTCAACTGTGCCCGGTCCTCAGAGTGAAGGGTGTACACCCCGGGAGGACCCAGCCAGTGGCGGGTCTGGCCCCGTCGCAGGATTGCTGGCACTCTGGCCGACACCCCAGGGAAGTTTCTGGCTTTCTGGGTGGGCTTCCTGGTGGCAATGGCAATGGTGGTGAAGCAAGGTTGGGGAGGCTCATCTGGGGTGTCTTTGGGCCTATCTGGAAATAGGCTTGAGACCCTAGTAGTTGAGGGGCTGCGGTCTGCTGAGAGTGAGTGGGGGGCCCACCTGACCTGTTAAATCTCAGTGGGACCATGGGGACTGCCCTTCCTTGGTGAGGGCTAGTGAACCTGTCCCCCCGGAGTGAAAGAGCACAGCGCCTCCTGCACAGGGTGTGGAGCCGGGCCTGTCTCTGGGCTGTGGGAGGCCCCGCCGCCCCAGGCCTCCCCGTGGGGCTGGAGGAAGCCGAGCACTGAGCCTCACTGCCCTCCTGCGTTGCTCCGGGCTCTACCCATGGGCCAGGCCTGTGGCTGGTGCTCTGGAGCCAGGAAGCTGGTGGCTTGGGTGGTGCTTGTGGGGGCCTGGACGAGCATCAGCTCCTGCCGTGGACCCTCCCCATTCGCTGCTAGCCAGGTGGGGTGTGTTCTGGAATGGCAGGTGCGTCTCGCCAGGCATCCTGTGCCTTGTCAAGGACATTTGTTCTCTGTTTTCGTGTGATTAGAGATTGCAAATGGGAAGATGGATTCTGTGTCCTTCTGTGTGTGTTTCGTGGTGAAAATATCTTTCAGACAAGACGTGAGGAGTAGGGATGCTTTCCTGACTTCCAAGTGTGGGGTTTTTACTGACTCCAGGGAACCCATCTGACTTAGGGCTTGAATGGAGCTCCCTCCTGAAGCGGGTAGGTGTGCAGATGAGGCATGGCCACAAGCTGTGGGCCCCACAGAGGTTGGGGGCTCAGTCCTTGGAGGGTAGACTGGGCTGGCTGCCCTGTGTCCCCGTCCCTGGTGAGGGTTCGGTTGCTCCCTCCCCAGGGCTCTGACTGCAGTTTCCTTATCCCATTGGTGACTTGGCTCTGTGGCTCAACATGTTGGGTACCCGGGGGGTCTCATCCCCACCCTCTGAAGGGGACAGTGATCCAGACAGTCCTGCGAGCGTCACTTTGCCCTGCCGGGGCTTGTAGCAGGCTGGCCATCAGGCAGCGGGCAGGGCTCTGAGGCCATGACCCCAGACTGTCAGGCAACTTTTCTGTTGGTGCATGTGGCCCTGGAGGAGTAGCCGAGCTGACCTGGGGTTGGGGCAGGGGTTCTGTGAACAGTGTCATCAAGGAGTACGGCCAGGATGGCTTCGGGGTTTGGTTCTACTGGGCAAGAGGACAAGGGGTTTCAAGAACGGAGGGAGGTGTCAGGCTGACGCAGGGCGGCCACCTGAGCAGGAAGGACAGGCCATGCCGGCCATCCCACTGGCAGTGACTCCCGACGCTGCACCGTTGGCCCAGCACCGTCTCCTCGGGCACAGCCAGAACTGTCCACGTGTTGTTGAGGGAGATGCCATGATACTGGCCCTCGGGTGGGGGACAGGGGGTACCACACGTGCACTCGGTGTACCAGATTCAGTCTTCAGTGGCCAAGGAGCAAAAAGTAGAAGCACACCAAGTAGAGTGTGCGTCCGAGTGCTTGTTCACACTTCCTCCGTGTGTCTGTTGGGGTTCCCAGAACAACTTCAGGGACAGGCCCTCTTGGATAAGTCCGCTGCCTAGCCACTGTGTGCATGTATGTGGTGTGCGTATGCACGTGTATATGCACACATGGGTCTCTGGGCATGTGTGCATGGATGTGGGTGTGCGAATGCACGTTTGCATGTGTGTGCATGGGTCTGGGCACATACATGAGCATGTATGTGTGTATGCACGTTTGTGTATGTGCACAGGTGTCAGCCTGTGTGTGCCTGGATATGGGTGTGTACGTGTGGGTGCATGTGCATGGATGTGTGTGTGTGCATGGATGTGTGTGTGTACAGATGTGTGCCTGGATGTGGGTGTGCTAATGCACGTTTGCATGTGTGCACAGATGTGAGCCTGTGTGCATGGATGTGGGTGTGTGCACGTGGGTACATGTTCACGGATGTGTGTGTGCATATGCACGTTTTCGTGTGTGCACACATGGGTCTGGGCACATGTGCATGTTTGTGCACACACGTGGACCTGGATGTGTGCACGCACATGAAGGCAGGCACAGGGCTTGGTGGTCACATGGTCTGGGGGCGTTGGGGTGTTCTGTCAGCGGACCCCGTCCTGTGATGTGGCTGGAGGTGTGCCTCCGGGGGTGACTGTCTTCGGCCAGGCGGTGGAGGTGGTGGTGACACGTCTGTGCCTTTGGTCTGAGATCTGTTCTCGTGACCGGTATGAGGAGCCTTGTTGCTACATCGATCCAGGTCTGTATTGTTCTGGAAAGTTCCCAGACCTTCCAAGTTTGATACCTACTGTGCTGGGGCAGCTCTGAGCTGTGGACACCAATGGTGGCGGTCACTGCTTGGGGCGAGGGGGGGTGCCCGGCACCTCCATGAGTTGGCACAAGGGACGCTGGTGAGGATCTAGCTCCCATGGCCGCCCCCCAAGGGGTCCCCCCTCTGGGGTCCTGGGTGCCGGTTACCAGCAGCTGTCGTTTGTTCTGTTGGGACTAGAAGGTGCACCACAGCTGGTCCCCCATGGCCTTGGGTGCATCAGTGAGCACAGTGGTCAGTGCTCTTCTCCTAGGGGCACAGGCTGCGAGGACTAGCTTGTGATTTACGGTGCACTGGGAAGTCGGAGCACTGTGAGGTGCTGGGTGTTAGCGTGGCCTCACGGAAAGGCCATGGCTGCAAGGGATGGTGGTGCCGCCAGCAAGAGTGGCCGGGAGGCAGGGCTAGGCTCCTCCAGCAGAGAGGGGCTTCGGAGCCTGTTCTGTTCTCATGTCTCTGGCTGTGTGGCTGTCCCTGAGTGTGGCCTCCCTGTGGGAAGGAGGAGTCCTGAAGGCAGGAGCTGCCCCGGCCTGGTGAACCCAGCACCCTGTAGTCGCTGTTCCTGTTCATAGGTGGGCTATGGCCAAGGGGGAGCAGCTGACCCACAGATAGCCCCCTCCTCACTTGGCGCTCTCCGGTGACCTGGGCACGTGGGTCTGTGGTGTCCCCATGTGGCGTGCTGGACTAGCAGGGGTTAGACTGAGGGTGGTGGGGACCAGCAGCCTGCCCCCGAATGCAGTCCCCTGTGGGGTGAGTCTGGCCCCAGATGGGCGATGAGTCAGGGTTTGAAGCCACGGGACACTGAGATGGCCCAGGGGAATTCTGTGGAAGGGCCAGGCAGGGGTGGGGCCTGGCTGCCCACTGCAGGGGTGGTGGCTGGAGGAGCGTCTGGTGTGTGGGCTGTGCTTAGCTGGTCTCTCCTGCCTGTTAGCAGAGACAAGTGGGCTCTGGAGCAGCTGTGCTGTGTGTCCTGGGACACCTTCACGCGCCTCTCTGTGCGGGGCCGATCTGTGAGGCCTGGTGGGCCGTGGAACCCCCTCTCCCTGTTGTGGCCAGTGCCTCCGTGGGGCCAGAGCACTGTTGGTGTTCTGGGCACTGTCAGAAAGTGGGAGATCCCTACCCACCCTGGTCCCGGGTCTGGGAGCCACGTGGCATGGCCCCCGCCTCCTTCAGCAGTAGAGGCTCAAGCGAATTTCAGGGTATTTCTTTGAAGTAAACAGCCTCAAATGTGTCCTACTTAGAAGTGTGTGGCGGGCTTGCCGTGTTCCTCTGGGGGCTGTGGACGGACTCCTTGGGGTGCATTGTGGAGAGGAGTGCAGAGGTGTGTCTGAGCACAGAGCTGGGCAGGGCTGCGGCCACGCAGGAGGGAGCTGGGGAGGCAGCTGGTTCGGGGGCCTTCGTTGGCTGTAGGTCAGTGTCCCACGAGGTGGCCAGGGGGTCCGAGGTTTCTACAGCAGGTTGGACCCCGTGGGAGACTGTCCTCCCGGGTTGGCCCAGGCTCCTGCATCGGGGCGTGTGACCTTGGGCCAGGGACACCTTCCCAGGGCTGCTGTCCTCGGGGGCCAGTGGCAGGGAAGGACTTGGGATGTTCGGCCAGTGTTGAGGTGGCTGCTTGTGTGCTGCCGGCCTGTCTGGGGTCTCCTGCTGTCACCCGCATGGGGGTGTGAACTTTGTGAATGTCAGCTGCTGTGGACGCATGTCCAGAGGGCAAAGTTTGATGTTAGGTATTAACTCCTGCTCACGGGGCTGGGTGCTCTCATTTGAGCGGGCTTTGCTCACGCACTGCTCCTCGTGGTCGTAGGGGTCGCCTACATTTGTCTTGGAGCCACAGAGGAGCTGGGCAGGGCAGGGCAGCTATCTTCCGAGCAGCTGGGTGGGGCAGTGAGAGGAAGACCCCTCTGCCATGGGGTTAGGGAACCTTTGATGAGAACCCACAGGGGCTGTTTCCTGGACCATGGGACTTTGGGCCTGGGCCTGTCCAGGCTCTGACGGGCAGCCACCTGCGGGCACCCACTGGGGACGACCCCGTGGGCGCCTGGGCACCCTTCTGGGGGACTGAGGGCAGTGCTCTCTGCACAGACAGCAGAGCATAGAGGGTTAATATTTTCCCTTTAAGAGAAAGAGGGAAGTTCCCTCTTCACAGTAGAGGTCTGGTTTGTGCAGATAAGTCTGGCGGCTTCAGCAGGACCAGGACTGCCGCAGACAAAGTGAGGTTCCCCAGCTTTGCACCCCAGCTCGTGTCCATGGCTGCCAGCATCATGTGGGTCCTAGAGCCTCCTGCCCAGAGTCCCGGTGAGCAGGCCTCAGCCAGGTAGCCCCTGGTCCTGGGGGTGGACAGGATGGGCAGGCCCCAGCCAGGCGGCCCCTGGTCCTGGGGGTAGACAGGGCAGGCAGGCCCCAGCCGGGTGGCCCCTGGTCCTGTGGGGGGACAGGGCGGGCAGGCCCCAACCAGGCAGCCCCTGGTCCTGGGGGTGGACAGGGCCGGTAGGCCCCAGCCGGGTGGCTCCTGGTCCTGGGGGTAGACAGGGCGGGCAGGCCCCAGCCATTAGGCCCCTGGTCCTGTGGGGGGACAGGGCGGGCAGGCCCCAGCCAGGCTGCCCCTGGTCCTGGGGCAGACAGTACTGGCCTGCAAGGCTGTGTCCCTGGTGGAGCCCTGGCCTGGGTCTCCTGCTGCCACGGCTCTGAAACCTTGCTGCCTTGGGCTTGTTTCCTTTTCTGTTCCTGGGGTGGCTTCCTGGGGGAGGAGGTGGAGGTGCAGTCCTGGCACCTGTGTGGTCTGGGGTGGGCCACCGACAGGGAAGTGGGTTGGAGCGCCTGTGATCTGCGTGTGGCTCACGGCTCGTGTCCCCAGGGAGGGGAGAGGAGGAGAGTGTACAGTCACCTCCCTGTTTGCCTCTTACGGTTGCTTTCGATTCCGCACCGGGAGCTGCCCTGGGCTGCCTGCACCGCGCTGGGAGCGGAGGCCGTGTCCGTCGGTGGCTGTGGCCAGGCCGCCCTCAAGACAGGACATCCCATGTACCCTGGCAGCACCCAGCCCGCTCCCCGAGTGTGCCTGCTCCCTGAATGCGCCGGCCTGTGGGTGCTGTGTCCCTGTCCAGGAGGTGGCCTGTCCCCGCGGTGGCCGTGACCTCTCCGCTCCATCTGGCTGCGGTGCCCGTGGGTCGGCTGGTTCCCAGGGAGGCAGGACAGTCACTGGGGAGGGATCGAGTGGGGCCGAAATCAGAGGAGGAAGAGCAGGGCGGTGTTGGGTTTCCTGCTCCTTCTGCCGCAGGGTCGTGGTCGCCGCCAGACGGGAGCCTGTGTGAGTAACAGGAGCCGCCCCAGGAGGCGGGAGAGGGCCTGGTGCCCCCGGCCGACTCTCGCCACCGCCTCCTTGGGGCTAACGGCAGGTCCTTATGTGGGAGAAGTCACGGGAGAGGTCGTGGGAGAGGTCAGACCAGAGTCAGCACACAGTGGAGGGCCCGCTGGGGAGTGGGGGTCCCCTGTGTCCCACGCCGGGGGCATGCCCTTTAGCGGGAGAGCCTGGTGAGGCCTTCAGAGCTGCGGTCCCCAGAGATGCCCCGTGTGCTCGAGTGTGAGCTTGCAAGCCTGCATCTGCAGGCACGCGTGTGCATGTGTGTGTCCTGTGTGAACGCTCTTGCATGTTTCTGGCTTGCTGGGATCTTCTGGGTGCTCCTGCTGGTTTGCCAACATTCTGTGTGGCTGCCGCTCAGCTGTGCATCCCCTGGGACGTCCCCTGTCCTCTGGACGCATCAGAGTTAAAGACGACGTGCTGTGTGTGGCGTCTCCGCCTGGTCTTGGGGACCCAGCGGCATAGCGAGCTGCCGTGGTGGCCTCGCTCGGGCTGGAAGGTGGCTGTGTTCCTCCAGTGTCCGGAGCCTCCCTGAGCCCTTCTCCCGAAGGCCCCGTGGTATTTCCCAAGGGAACCTCCCCTCTGGAGCCCTGGGCGAGTGGGAGACAGTGGGGAGCCTCGTGAGTTGTACCTGGTCCGTGGGGCAGCGCTGGGATGCACCTGGGCCCTGCCGCTGTCTGACCACGAGGCTGCTCGTGGGGTCTGCTGGTTTCAGGTCACACCTGGTGTCATGTGTGCGGGGTCAGGATGTGGTGGGAGTGAGCTGTGCCCTTGAGGGGAGGCCTTGGAGCAGTGAGCTGGCCTGTGTGCCTCCCTGGTGCTGGGCTCCGGGAGGTGCCGTGCACACGTGGGTGTCACTTGCCTGTGGGAGGACGCAGCGTTCGGGCAAGTCACATGTCCCGCATCAGGGACCCCAGAGCTGAGCAGAAGTGCAACACAGCCTTAAATGAAGGGCTTTGCGCTCCGTGAGCGTGCCGGGTGTGGGGGAAGGGAACCAGGTCACATGCTGACCTGAGACCATGTGGGACTCAGGAAAATGGGACACTGGCATCCGTCCCTTCTCCGTGGCACCAGAGGTGACCCCACGGTCCTGGGGGCAGGAAGGGCGTCCACCTTCCTGTCAGCCTGAGGCCCTCTTCTGCTTCCTTGCGGGCGGCCAAGGTCCCGAGACGTCCTCCCTTCCGTTTGCTGGGAGACCCAGCTGGGGAGGGCCCGTCCGTCCTCCCCGAAGGGCATGCTTTGCAGTGCGCACCGCCTGCGGCGTGGGGGCCAGGAGGGTCCTCGTCCTCCTGATACGTCCTCTGATTTTGACAACAGTGTTTCTGTTTGAGCCAAAAATTGTTGTGAAAATCACCGGGCCTTTGCCCTCTAGCACGAACATGAAACTCCTCCTCCGCCCAGGAGGGGTCTCTCTGGCCTGGGTTCCAGCCGTGGTCCTGGATGTGACACGGGGGCAGGGGCAGGGCTGGGGTCACGCGTCTACAGTCAGGGTCCTGGAACAGAGAAATGCTTCGTTCCAGCCATAACTGCTTCAAAGAGGCCTGGCCGCTGGAGACATGGCTGCTCTGGGGTCTGGCCACTGGGTGCACTGGGGGGTCACTAGGGGACCCTCCATTCTGCCAGAGGCTCCTGCAGCCCTCATGTGACCCGCGTCTGCTGTGCGGACCTGGGGAGCAGAGGGGGCAGCTTCTGGACCCCCAAGGTCTGGTCTGTGCCCCATCTTCTGTTCCCCAGCCCCGCTTCGAGAGCCATTCTGAGAGAGATACAAGTAAAATCCCGGTTACAGACCAGAAGTGGAAGGTGTGGGGAGTGACATCTGGCACTGTCAGGAGGAGGTGATCATGGGGGGCGATGGGCAGATGGACACTGTACCCTGAGAGGCTGCCTAGCAGGAACAAGGGCTCTGAGCGGGCTTCGGCCTCCCTGAGCCCCCTCGCCCCGGGGCGTGGCCGCCTGCCTGCAGAGGACAAAGATGCACCACATGCTGGAGTCTGGGGAGGAACCCAATTCAGGCTTGGGAGATGGGGTGCAGTCTGCCGGGATGACCTCACCCCAGGTCAGTCTAACCCTCGCTGACCTCGGGGAGGCCAGAAACGGGCATTGGAACCAATGGAGGGCGCAGGAGGGAGACATGGCCTGAGGGGCATGGGGGGCCGCATGGGCTGCAGAGAAGTTCTGGGCCCCAGCGGGGTCAGTGACACGTGAGCCTGGAGAGGGGTCAGGCGGAGGCCCTGCCTGGATGCGCACCCAGCGCTGGCGTAGGCGTCGTGGCTTTCATAGAACATGTTCAGTGTTCTGCGATGAGGTGACATGGTGCTGAACTGTGGCCTCCTCTGAAGCAGCCCTCATGGGGATGGGGACGGGGACGCCAGTGCTGGCCAGGGCCTGGCTCCCTGTGTCCGCCTGTGCCCTCTAGATCCTTCTTGGAACCTTAGTTCTGGACCAGCAGCCGCCACCTGTGCGCTGTGTTCCTGGGAGAACCCGCCCCTGCTCTCGGGGTCACAGGCCTGGACTGGGCCTGCTCACTCGTGGCGTGCTGCTGGACCTTCCCGTAGAACCTGGGGTCAGCTGGTGTGCATGGTCACTAAGGTCCCTTCAGGGCGTGGAGAGGAGTGACCCGTGAAGCACTGGTTTGCACAGGTGTCCCCTGGCTGGGGGCCCTTAAACAGGCCGATCCCGCCTGCTGTGAGGTGGAGGCAGAGACAGTGGCTGAGGTGGAGGCAGAGACAGTGGCTGAGGCTGGGAACAGGTGAGCGGATGAAGGACGGCCACTTCTGCTTTGCGGCCTCCCGGAGATCTCAGGAAACAGCTGTGTGTTGAGGACCTGCTGCCGGGCTCTGCAAGCTGCGGCCTGCCTGCGTTTGTCAATAAAGTTTTATTGGCATGTGACCCTGCTGTTTGGCTTGTTCGCACATTATCTTTGGTGCACTGAGCGCTTGTGACAGCCGTGTGGCCTGTACTGAGGAGGCTCGCTGGACCCGTGGTCTAGAACCTTCCTCCACTTGCTGTCTGTTCTTCAGCAGCATGCCTGAAGGATGGCAGGAGGTATGTGGAATGCCATGGAAATCGTCCATGGCTGTTTTCCTGGGGTGGTTTTCAGGAGAAATGCCTTGAGGCAGGAATGCCGTGGGGTGTCCCGTCACTGTCTCGGTGCCCACGTGACCCAAGGCGGCTCTGGCCCCAGACACCTCCCGCCTGGACTGACCACGTGGGGACCCGGATAACCCTCTGCCTGTCACCCAGCAGCTTCAGGGTCTCGCGGAATTCCCCGGGGTGACTGCACGTGGTGGTTACGAATGGTAATCTGACACGCGTGCCCGGGCATTCGTGAGTGGCGCCTGCCTGTCTGTGTCTTCCAGGCCTCGATTCTTAAATTTTCTCTTTGTGGTTTCTTTGAGATAAAGATTACTTTATTTATTGAGTGAGCTTGACGTCTGGCACAGTTCTGGACTCATGGAGCCCCCACGTGCGCTGGTCTGTGCCATGCTCCCCGTGGGTGTCCCAGCAGATGGATGGCCCCCCTGGCCTGCACCCTGAGTCCCACCCAGTGGTGCCTCTTTGGCCTCAGGCATCGCACTGTATCTGGCTTCTCGGCCTGTGGTGGTTTCTCAGGCCTTTGTTTTTAGTGGTGTCGTGGCTCAGGAGGCTGGTGTCTTTGGGGCCGTGGGGGAACATGGGCCATGTGCTGCTGGGGAGCTTCAGCCTGTAGTTGGGGAGGGGCAGCCGGGTCACAGAAAAGCCGGTCTGGCATGGGGGCTCCTCCCAGCGCACAGCTCAGGGCCCCCCTGCACACAAGCCCTGCCGTCCCAGTGCCACCTGCCGCAGGGACTTGCACCTTCCTGGCATGGTCCTGGGGGGCTCCCCCACCTCACTCTGTTTTATACAAGGAAGGTCCCCTGTGCTGCGAGCCTCCTCAGTTCCTCTTCCCTGCATGGGGCTCCCACAGCTCCACCACACCCGTCCTGTGTCCCCCTCACCCCTGTGTGTGGTCAGGCTCATGGGGAGCAGCCCCGCAGAGCCAGGCGTGTTTGTCCCCCCAGTGCCCCCTCACAGCTTCAGGTTTGGTCCTGGGACTAGCTTCCTCCCTCCAGACTTGGGCTGCGTGGGGTGCTGACTGTGCTTTACTCTGGCATCTGTGCTGTGACCTCGCATTTCGAAGCTCAGATTGTTCTGGAGGCAGCCAGAGGGAACCCCATTGCTGGCGGTCTGTCGTCCTGACGCGTGTGCTGGGTCGTCCTCAGGGGACCCGCAGTGTGTGGGTGGAGGTGGAGAACCCACCACCCTGGCCACCTGCCCCCGTCATGGGAGCACAGTCGCATGATGGCTCGGGTGCATGCTGTGCGCCCACAGACGCGCGTGCCAGTTTTAGAAGCGCTCACCCGCGTGTCTGGAAGGGGACCCTCTGCCAGCACTTCCGGTTTCCTTAGTTTTCTGAGGTCTTGAGTGCAGGATTCAGTCTGTGCTCGGGGTGCTTGGGCTGCTTGTGTGATCCCCGCTTGGGGTGATTGTGGCGCCCACTGGCAGTGTGGTCATTTGTTTTGTCCGTCCTCCTCGTTGCAGGCTCTGAGCGTGGGAAACACGGGGGTGGTTTCAGAAGCCAAGCAAGGAGGTGCTCCCCTGACAAGAGCGTGGGGTGAGGCCTGGAGGAAGCCGAGGGCACAGACTGGGCCTGGAGAGTGGCGGGTTGTGGGGGGGGGGGCTTGGGCAGCAACCCCAAGGACTGCTTGGCTGACTGGGTGGGGATGGGGTTCCCTACTGCACCCAGCACGCGGCCCACTGTCGCCCCCCCATTGTCACCTTGAGCTGCCACGGCGACTGACTGGGGCCCTCCACCCCCACCCCAAGTGTCCGGTAGGATGGTGATCCTCCTGTCTTAGGGATTCTGTCAGAAAGGTGGACCAGCAGGACCCGGCGTGAGTTCTCACCTAGCACCTGGTGCCCTGGGGTCTGAGGAAGCTGGTTTTGGAGACTTTCCCTCCTTGCCAGGTGGCGTTGGGTCATAGGTCAGAACACCAGGTCCCCTGAGCGCAATGCCGGTGGCTAGGGGGCCCCCTGTGAGCGGGTGCCCACATCCGCATCCCTGCAGCAGGCCAGGCCTTCCCTGCTGTGGCCTCTGATGGTGGACTTCCAGAGAGGAGCTGCCCTCGGTGGTGGGGACACGAGGGGGTGCAGCCCCCAGGCTCCTGGCCCCACCTGTCCCCATCAGCGGCTCCTGTACCTGGGGTGGCATCATGTCACCGTTTCTGATGAAATGCCCCCTCCCCCCGGGGCTTGTGACCTTTCCTCCATTGGGACTTGGAACCTGTGACCTGGTGCCACGTCTCAGGGTCTGGGAGCCAGGAGCCCACAGACTGAACTAGGACCTGAGCGCTCTGCTCCTCCACAGCCTGGCGGCCTCGAGGGCCAGTTCTCACCTCTTTGGCGGGGCTTCAGGGCCACCTCAGGCACTGTGCTTGCCCGGGGACTGCTGGGTCCCTGAGCTGAAGGTCGCTGGGGAGACCTGTGATCCACTGGGATTTGGTGAGCTGGAAACTCAGGCCGAGGCTTTTCTGTGTGGCCCTAGCATGAGCATGGTTTCCCATAGGAACGGTTCCAGCCAGGCTGTTGTGGGGGCCATCCAGCATGTGTCCCCAGGAGTCCTGGTGAAGCACCGTGGGACCCCAGGGGGCGGCTTGGGATGTGAAGCTCCTGAATGGGAGGCTACACCTGTGGGTCCTGCAGATAGTGCTGGCCCTGCCCTGATCCCAGCACCTGGGGGAGGCCACATGCCCTATCCCTTCCTACCCTCTACTCCATCTGGGATGCAGTGGCCCCACGGTCACCTGTTCCTCATCCTTTGTGTTTGTACGTCTTGTTTTATATCTGGGGAAAGTGAGGTGGGTGGTGGGCTGCTGAGGCACAAACGGCTGGCTCAGCAGCCAGGGCTGCGACCCCGAGGTGTGTTGCTGGTGGGGGCCCCAGGCACAGGGTAATGTCCCCAGGTGACATGCATGTCTGCATCCTTGGAGCCCGGTGGCCTCCTCGGGGCCCCCAGCCTGCTCAGCGGTCCCCAAGGCCCTGGGGTCATGTGGGCCTGCAGTGGCACCTGCCCTGTTCTGGCCTCTTGTACAACTGACCTGAGCGGTTTGCCCTGCAGGAGATGGGAACCCGCGAGAAAACAGCCCGTTCATCAACCACTCGGAAATGGAGCAGGAGAGCTTCTGTGAAGGAAAGAACATGGCGCTCTTTGAGGTGACACACGCTCCTGCCCTCTGACGGGATGCATGGGGGCCAGGGCTGTAACCTGGGACACAACACAGGGCCACAGCCCTGAGACCTCGTGGTCTCCCGAGGAACTGGGTCGGGTGGAGGGCTGCCCCCCAACTGGCTGCCACACACGGGGAACCTCATTGGCTGCCACCTTCTTAGGAGGGGCCATCAGGGAACCCTGGACCTTGCTCTGTGTGGCCATGGGCCCCAACCTTGGGCTCCTGACCCCTGACCTGGGAACACTGTGCACATGTCCAGGGTGACATGGCCTCAGATCTGGGGCTGGAACCAACAGGGAGCCTGTGCTGGGCACTGGTCCAGCAGTGGGCGGGGGGGGGGATCGGGTAATGAACCCAGTGTTGGCCCCGCACAGGAGGAGATGGACAGCAACCCCATGGTGTCCTCACTGCTCAACAAGCTGGCCAACTACACCAACCTGAGCCAGGGCGTCGTAGAGCACGAGGAACATGAGGAGGATGGCAAGAGGCGTGAGGTCAAGGTGCGCCCCGCCTGCCCCGTCCCCTCCAACCTGTGACCCCCCAGAAGCCCCCTCCCTATATGTGGTGTAGCCTGCTGTCCTGCGGGAGTCTGTCGTTGGGCCAGTGAGCCAGCAGAGCTGCCTCTCTGGCCCTCGACCTCCCAGAACCTTACCCTCCCTGGCCCTCAGCTTCCTGGCCCCTCGGCCTTCCGGCCCCTTGACCTCCTGGCCTGTGCCTGCAGCTTTTCTCCACTCTTAGGAAGTATTTCCAGAGCAAACCTTCCCCAGGTGTGTGTGTTTTCTTATTCACCTGCATCTGAGACATTTTTCAGGGGGAAGGTCCATCTCGGAAACTGAGGTACACTACCTGACTCTGGTGCCTTGCCAGCTGTGGGTCAGGATGGGCTGGGACCCCAGTGTTGCGCGCCCTCTGGGGTGGCTCTGGAGCCCCCCAGCAGGCTCCTGGCCTTGGTGCTACCAACCTGCCTGTGGTCCTGAGCCCTGGTGGCCTCGGGGATCACAGAGGACACCCCAGAGGTGGCACCACTGGGCTAACATGGCTGCAGGTCACATGTGAACTTTCTGCAGTGGGTTCAGGCACTTGCCTTGTGGTGCCTCTTATGCACTTAGGGAGCCCCTGCCTATTGTCCTCCTGTGTCCCTGAGTGCCTAGGCCTCTGCAGCCCGGAGCTGCCGTCCACAGAACAGGGCCTGGGCTTGTCCTGCCTCCCACTGGCCCGGTGTTGCCATGGCTGCCCTCATGGCACCCTTCCCGCTCTCTGGCAGCGACGTGGTCTGGATTCCCTCCCAGCATCCACCTTGCTCCTGGGCGGTGGGGTCCTAAGGATTTCTCCCAAAGCCTCCCTTCCAGGGATGCCTGGCTTCCCCCAGGCCTCCAGGGCCGTGGCTTCCCTTCCTTGTCCGAGTGTCCCCAGGGCTCCTGGGATGGCAGTGGGTCTGGGCACCTACAGGTGCTGGTTCCGCCTCCCTAGAACCGCCGTGGTCTCTTTCAGAGCCCGCGCATGGGCACGTTCATTGGCGTCTACCTGCCCTGCCTCCAGAACATCCTTGGTGTGATTCTCTTCCTGCGCCTGACGTGGATCGTGGGGGCGGCTGGCGTCCTGGAGTCCTTCCTCATTGTGTTCATGTGCTGTACCTGCGTGAGTGGCCCAGGGCCCCTTCCAGGGCTGGCAGGTGTAGAGTGGGCCAGCGATCGGCCAGGGGGTCTTGGGTCCTACATCTGTGGAAGGACACTGGGGTGTGCTTCCAGGTGGCCGGGCTTGTGGGGGCACTGTCTCCACTCGAGCAGGTCCTGCATATTCATGAGATCCCTTCCAGTTTGGAAGCACCTGGGGTCCCTGTTTGCAGGAAGGGCTCACCTCTGTGACTTGTTTGGTTCTAGACCCTGCCCCCCACACCTGCCTGGCCCCAGGTAGTAAGAACATGGGGCTGTTGTCCCCTTGCTCACAGGTCTGCTGTGGCCTCCATGCTCCTGGGCACCTGCTCCACAGCATCAGGCTCTCCTGCCTTGCTCTCACTGTGGGACTGGCTCCTCTGAGCCCCCAGGCCTCCCCTGGAGCTTCCTAGCCGTCCAGGGACTGGCCTGTGCCCCTCATGGCTCCGCAGGCTGCAGCATGGTCATCTCAGCTGCGTCCCCTCCTTCCTCCTGTGACGTTTCTTTCACTTGAGAGATCTGGAAGTACCTGTGATAACTGCCATAAAACCAGATAAAGAGCAGGGGCTTCTGTAAGCAACACATGTGCCCAGGGGGACCTGAGCCAAAGAAGTGGGACCCAGGATTGTAGCGGCCATCGGCACCTTATACTTTCCGGAGGCTCCTTCTGGTCCTTTGGTAGCCTGTGGTGTGGCCACTTTCTGAGCTGTGCTGGGAGCTGGGGGCAGACCCACCCTGGACGGCTGTGGAGGTCCTGCCTCCAGCCTGGAGCGGTCGCCCAGATGGGGTTCCTCCCCAACCCCATGGTAGGCGGGCACCGAGGCAGAAGCCGGCCTTTCATCCCGTGTGGGGTCTGGAGTTGGGATTTTCTGGATGGTCTGCAGGAGCTCAGCTTTGAGGGTCGAGTGAGAGAGATCCGGGCGGCCCTGAGTGTCCTGGAGCTCGGCAGCCCGTTCGTCATGGGGCTGGGCGTGGTCCCCCAAACATCCTTTGTTCTCAGAGGAGTTCGCCTGTGTCTTTGCAGACAATGCTGACGGCCATCTCTATGAGCGCCATTGCTACCAACGGTGTGGTCCCAGGTAAGGGTGCCGGGGCAGGCTGAGTGGAGACCTGACCTGAGCCCTGCTGGCGATGCAGGGCTCCCCCTACTGTGACCTTGACGTGAGCCCTTTACCCAGGGTGGCCTCTGCCAAGGTGGGCGGTGCTGCCCCAGAGGGCCCCTGTGTGCACGTGCCCTGCCCACCTGATGGCAAGCCCGGAGCACAGACAGCCACATCTGGCGGGCAGGCGGGCAGGGTCTCCTGTCCACAGGGACCCCGCCTCCAGGCAGAGGCGCTCACGGCCTCCCTGCTCTCCCAGCACATGGGAGCGCCGCGAGCTGTCCTAAGGCAAGGCGGGGATCTTGCGCACACTTGTCCCCCAGTGCCTGGCCTGCGCTCAGAGCTGCTGTGAAATTGGGATTCTTGTAGATTCCTAGTGGAACCTACATGAACGTTTCCAGATACTTTCTTAGGAAATGTCAACATTGCTCTGTGGTCAGAGATGCTGGCATCTCATGAACCGCTTCCTGCTTTTGGTTCTGGAGTTAATTTTTCCCAGACCCCAATTCTGTTTGTAAACTGAGTTATTGCTGAGGCTGAACTGAAGCGTCACCACGGGCAGTCCCTGCGTCGGGTGCCGCCTGAGCGGGTGTCAGGAGCCTGGAGAGCAGAGGGGCTGAGGGCGCTGGGCACGGCTTCAGTCTTTGGGGCTGCTTTGGCCTTGGAGCCCCAGAGCACGGCTGCTTGTCGTGACCGTCCCTGGGTTGGGTGGGCGGGGCTCCAGGCGAGGAGGACATGGAGGGGACGGTCTGCAAACCAGGCCCTGCGGGACTCCGTCTCCAGGTCCTGGGGAGGCTTCCCATCCCTGGAGCCTCCCTGGCCCAGGGGGCGGCAGTGGTGTAGACTGCACCCCCACCCTCAGGGCCGCCAGGGCGTGGGGTCCAGGGCTGGCTGTGGCGTTGGCTGTGCTCTGGTGCAGGATGGTGCTCAAGCAGCCGCAGGCTTCCTTGGCCTTTCTGGGGCAGAGTGCACAGCATCGAGGTGTTGGGCTAACGTCGGCTTCCCGGGAAATGGTACGACCCTAACCCGCTGCTTCTCTGTCCTGTTTGCAGCTGGCGGCTCGTACTACATGATATCACGCTCCCTGGGGCCTGAGTTCGGAGGGGCCGTGGGCCTCTGCTTCTATCTGGGCACGACCTTTGCTGGGGCCATGTATATTTTGGGGACCATTGAGATTTTTTTGGTACGTGCTTTGTTTTGGGCTGGTTCTCCAGGCCCCGAGGAGTCCCCTCCCGGGCCCCCCACCCTTTTGCTCTGATGCCTGCCTGCTCAGGCTCTCGGAGGCTGGCTGCATCCCTCTCGGGGCTGGGCCCTGGCTGGACGCTGTGCCCGTACTGACTGCAGTGACCTGGGGTCCCTCCCGGCTACCCTTTGGGGACAGCTGAGTGCATGATGGGCTGCAGGTCTGAGCCCCAGATCAGCCCGCATTCCTGGCCTTCAGCTGCCTCTGCTGTTGGAAGAGGCAGAGCCAGCCAGCCGGTCACCTCTCGGCCACGAATTGGTCCATCCTGTTGCCCCCACTCAGTTTATTATGTGCATGCACGGTAAGGCCTCCATGGACAATGTCATCACTCCCCGATGATGAGGCCATGGTGGCCCCTGGCCCTGCAGGCTGAGCTGGGGGTGCTGCCCAGGAGCCAGCGTCCATGACGCCCACCCCAAGGGCAGCATCTCTTTTTAGCCTGTCTACTCTGTTCTCGTTTCTGGGCTCCCACCAGGGTGTACTCCCCATAAATGCATTCTGTGGGGGGTGGAGGCCCAGCATGAGGCCCTGCGCACAAAGGCGCCTTCCACGTGGGGCCACGTTCCAGGCAGGGATGGTGGGAGGCCCTTCTTTAACTCTCTATTCCCCACAGACCTACATCTCCCCAAGCGCAGCCATCATCCAGGCAGAGACGGCGGAGGGTGAGGCCGCGGCCATGCTGCACAACATGCGCGTGTATGGGACGTGCACACTGGTGCTCATGGCCATGGTGGTCTTCGTGGGCGTCAAGTATGTCAACAAGCTGGCCCTGGTGTTCCTGGCCTGTGTCGTGCTGTCCATCCTTGCCATCTATGCTGGTGTCATCAAGACCGCCTTCGACCCACCAGATGTCCCGTGAGTCCTGGGCCTGCAGAGGTGCAGCTCTTCCTCTTAGCCTGGTCTGTGTGCAACTGCCTGGTCGGGCCTGGGATGGTGGCGCTGGGGGGTGCAGACTCCCCTATTCCCGCTGGGCTGGGGGATGAGCCATCAGGATGCTCGTGGGGCCGCGCCCTCTGCACGGATGGGGTAGGTTGCCAGAGGTCAGGGGTGAACACGGTGCTGCTGGCCCTGAGGACAGGCCGCACTGAGCACCCCCTGGGGTGGCCCGTCCTCAGTGCCCCTGGCTGCCCAGGGGCTCCCCAATGGGCTCCTTTCCTGTCCCCCTTCTGGGTGTGGCTGGCAGGTCCCAGGAGGTGGCTCAAGGTCACAGTGAATGAGCGAGGCATGTTACGTCTGCCACGTGGTATGTCAGGTGGCCAGGTTGGCCCAGGGCCCACAGGGCTGGTCAGGAGGGGCCGGGCAGCGGGGTGGCACCAAGCGCCCCCCCCCCAGTGCCTCCCTGTGGAGGGAGGCACCTGCGTCAGTTGTGCAAGGCCCCTGCAACACGCACTATGCTCTAGGGAGCGTGGTTTCAAGGGCCCCAGGTCCTGCTTCAGCACCCAGCCTGCGCAGCTCACCGGCACTCCTGCCGCCCAGGGTGGAGTGTCAGAAGCAGCCTAGCAGCCCCCAATCCTGGTCACTCGGGAAAAGTGGTAGAAGTAGTTTCAGGAGGGGCCTGTGCATCTTCTCACGCCCACCTCCCTGTGCTAGGGTCTGCCTGCTGGGGAACCGCACCTTGTCAAGACGCGGCTTCGACCTCTGTGCCAAGGTCCAGACTGCCAACAACAGCACGACGCCCACCGCGCTCTGGCGCCTCTTCTGCAACAACTCCATGTCCAGCGCCAGCTGTGACGAGTACTTTGTCCAGAACAACGTCACAGAGATCCAGGGCATCCCCGGGGTGGCCAGTGGCGTCCTGCTGGGTGAGTACCACCCTACACTGGTAGCCATCCTCCCCAGAGCTGGAGCCGCGGTCACTACGCAGGTCATGAAGCCTGCGGCTCAGCAGACCTTGTCTTTCTAGGGGTTTGCTGGCAGGTGCACGGGCACTCACCCTGGTCACGGGGGCTCAGGCTGGGGGGAAAGGGTCTGTCCCATCTGTGTTCTGGGAGGAGGGGTCGTGTGTGACATCAGATCCCGTGGGAGCTGGTAAGCCCTTCACCGCTGTGCCTGCTGGGCCTGGTAGAAGGGTCCGGAATCTTGTTAGGGGCCTGTTGTCACCCACAGATAATCTGTGGAGCACATATGCGGACAAGGGGGCGTTCGTGGAGAGGAAGGGCATGCCGTCTGTGCCGGTGCCAGAGGAGAGCAGAGCCAGTGGCCTGCCCTATGTGCTCACCGACATCATGACCTACTTCACCATGTTGGTCGGGATCTACTTTCCCTCCGTGACCGGTGAGGCCCTGCCTGGTCCCCCGAGAAACAAGCCTTGGGGTCTCTGCTCCCCATGTGCCGGTTGGGGTGTGGGAAGGTGTTGTCCCAAGCGCTCCCAGCAGACTGGCATCACTCGGGGTGACGGACCGTGGCAGCTGGGCAAGGAGCCGAGGGCCATCCTTGCAAGACAGTCGCTGACCTTCTGGGATGACCCTCAGCACCTGGCAGGGTGTTGTTCCCTGCACGTATGCACGCTCCCTGCCGGGCCACCTCCAGCTGCCCTCTGCCCGCGGGAGCCCCAGCCCCACCCGGCCTGGCACTGCCACCTGAGCCGCTGGTGCACGTGGCTGTGTGCCCCGTGTGTTGTGGCTGGGGCCTGGCAGGTGGTGTTTTCAGGTTTGTGGTAACCGTAGGCTGTCCCCGTGGGTCTCTGTAGGTATCATGGCAGGCTCGAACCGCTCTGGGGACCTCAGGGATGCCCAGAAGTCAATCCCCACAGGGACCATTTTGGCCATCGTGACAACGTCATTTATCTGTATCCTCCAAGGCACTGGGTGAGGAAGGCCTATGCCCTGTCCACCGCCCGGTGCACGTCCAGCCGGGGTGGGCTTCCGGGGCTCAGGCCAGCGCTGACTGCCACCCCCAGAGGGAGCCGGGCCAACCTCTGCCTGATGATGGAGGGTGAAGGAGCCACCAGGACACTGACTTCACGGCTGGTCATGGCCTGAGTGTTGTCCATGAGCCACATGGAGCGCTCAAGTCGTCACACATGATGACTGGCAATAACCCGTGACTGTGGTGTGGTTCGTGGTGCTTGTGTACATGCACACAGTCACAGCGACCCTATGCTGGTTGCAGAGGTTTGTCTCTACCAAGCGAACCAGTGTCCTGCCAGTGTGCCGCCTGACTCACTGGAGCCAGGACAGGGCAGCAAGAAAGGCGCCAAGGGCCGCAGGGTCACAGCAGTGGGGGGGGCGGGCAGGTGGGGCACAGGGTTGGTCCAGGCCCACCGTGACTAGGACCCCATTGACACGTTTGGGCTGCAGCTTCCTTGACACGAGACACAGACCTGTCCTGCATCGTGCTCTTTGGGGCCTGCATCGAAGGTGTGATCTTACGAGATAAGTATGTTGGTTTTGTGACTTCTAGAAGCTTCCTAGTCAGCATCCGTTTTCTCATAGAAGATGGTAGCGTTGAGCTTGCCTCCCCCAGGATTTCAGGTTTCATGCGGCAAGCAGGAAGCCCCATGGCCCTTCCATGGGGGGTCCCGTGTGGTCCCTGGCAGTGAGGCCTCACGGATGCTGCTGTGCAGGGCTGACCGTGGCCTCCCTGCTCCTGAGGAGGACACTCAGGGTGGGAGTGGCCTCATTCCAGCTCGGGACATGAGAACCACGTCTTCAGCATGAGTCTGATGTCCTGCCTGCTCCTGCCCCGCCAGGTTTGGCGAGGCCCTGCAGGGGAAGCTGGTCATCGGCATGCTGGCCTGGCCGTCCCCCTGGGTCATCGTCATCGGCTCCTTCTTCTCGACCTGCGGTGCCGGCCTACAGAGCCTCACGGGGGCGCCGCGCCTGCTGCAGGCCATCGCCCGAGACGGCATCATCCCCTTCCTGCAGGTGAGTGGGGTGCCCCTCGGAAAGGAGGGTGTCTGCGTGGGGTCCCCAAGGGCCTGCCCTGGAGCCAACTGTCACGGTGATAGCCTCTGGGCCCACGTCCCCACCGCCAGCCCCTCAGCATGTGGGCCGTGTGTGAGGGGAGCGACCCGGGACCCTGCACCTCCTGTGGGGCCGGCGTCTGCCCTGCTGGATGTGGCTTCCTCCCCTGTAGACAGAGGTCTCTGCTGCGAGGAGCCCGCGGGGCCGGCGTCTTCTTGTTCTGACGGCACAGGACATGGCTGGGGGCTCAGATAATACAAGTGCATCTGCTCATGCCCCGGGGGTGGGAGGTCCCAGAGGCAGGCATGGGCAGGGGTGGTTTCTTCTGAGGTCTCCGTCCTTGGTGTATGGACACCATCCTTCCCGAGTCCTCTCATGGCTTCCATGTGGCTTCATCTTTTCTCATGAGGACGCCAGTCACCTAACCAGGGATTAGGCTGCCCCATTACTGGTTGCCCTTAAAGCTCATGTCTGCAATCAGAGTCAAGTTACCTACCTCCCAAGGTGGTGGGGCCAGGGCTTCCCTGGGGCCAGGTCTGGGGTGCCTGAGGCCCCATGTGTGCTGATCATCTGGGGTGGGCGCTGGTCCTCTGGCTCCCGAGTGCTGGCCCTCGCCTTTGCTCCCTGGAAGGTTCCTGTGGCCTGGAATGTTTTCCTCTCTCATGACTCCATCTGTTCCTCGGACACAGACAGGGTTGCGGAGCGTGCGCAGGTACCTGCTAGGTTGGGCGTCACTGGCAGGAGCAGGTGGCAGTCACGGCATCCCTGGTGCCGTGGAGCCTCCAGCCCACAGACTCCCACCTGAGCCTCGACCATGGCGCCCTGGTGCCCCTCTCTAGCTCTATTTCTGGTTTGCCTCATGGTGTCTCTGCTGCGTGCTCTGAATGTCCCTTCCCGGGCCCCTGGGCTGCAGGGATTGCAAGGAACATGTTGGACAGCTGGTGCCCCTAGAGGCGGGTGGGCCTTGCCGTGGTCCTGCCCCACGTGGCTGCGGGTGAAGGGTCCAAGCACCTTACTGTGAGATCCTCACGGGGGTCTTCTGTGCGTGTGGCTCGAGGCTAGCCTTATGCTCCCTGGGGGGCCCCCATCCAGGGCACGGAAGGATCACCTTCACCCCCATCGGTGCACCGTGAGGCCCTGGGCCTGGTGGTACCTGGGCCACTGTTTCCCTTTGCACAGCTGGATGTTGGGTCTTCTTCCTGGGGCCAGCCATCGAGGGTCTAGGATGCGCCGTGAAGGTCTGCTCCTGCCTTGGTTCCTCCAGGGCTGCTCACCAGGACACAGGGCACTGCCCTTCCCGGCTGTGACCCGGCTGCCCTTCCCCGCAGGTGTTCGGCCACGGGAAGGCCAATGGGGAGCCCACATGGGCCCTGCTGCTCACGGCCCTCATCTGTGAGACCGGCATCCTGATTGCCTCTCTGGACAGTGTGGCCCCCATCCTGTCCATGTGAGTGGCTGTAGGCACGGTGGGACGTGTGTGGGGAAAGGCCACAGACATGGGGCCGCCGCCTGCTGACTCAGGGAGCGGGAGGCCCTGCTCTCGGGGCTGGCCTTCTGCTTGGAGTGATAGACATGCACAACCACAGAGGCCGTAGACAGGCGGGGGCGGGAGACCACCTGGGAGTGGGTGGGCCGGGCTGTTGCAGGAGGGGTGTGGGCATGGTCAGCCAAGGCCACCTGGGACCTGACCTGCTTCCTGTGGCCTTGTCCTGGCATCTCCAGGTTCTTCCTCATGTGCTACATGTTCGTGAACCTGGCCTGTGCCGTGCAGACGCTGCTGCGCACGCCCAACTGGCGCCCACGTTTCAGATACTACCACTGGTGAGCACTCGCATGGCCAGGGCGGCCCTGGGGTCCCCGGTGTAGGCTGCATCCAAAGGCCACGTGGGGCCCTGGTTTCTTCCAGCACCAGCCTCGGCCGAGCTGAGGGGGGCCCTGTGCCCCTGTGTCACTCAGGGCCACCAAGGCATCTTGTGGCATGTGGGCCCGGAGCGTGTGACCTTAGGCAGCATGTCTTTGTGCTGCCATTGTGTGTGGTGGACGGGTGAAGACCATTGTGCTCTGTGGCCAGCAGTGTGCCTATGCACCCTGGGCAGAGGGGTGGGCGTCCCGTAGGCGCAGAGCCAGGGCAGGTTCAGCCCTCAAGGGGGGAGCATGGGAGGATCAGGCCGGCAGCGTCAGTGCCACTTTCCCACCATAGCTGAGAGACCTTTCGGTGGCTGGCAATGTGCGTGGGGCTGTGGGCGTGGCAGGCCTGTGATTTCTGTGTTCCTCCAGGGCGCTGTCCTTCCTGGGCATGAGCCTGTGCCTTGCCCTCATGTTTATCTGTTCCTGGTATTACGCGCTCTTCGCCATGCTCATAGCCGGCTGCATCTACAAGTACATCGAGTACCGCGGGTGAGTCCTCCCTTGGGGCCTCCCGGGGTCTGCGCGGCACAGTGCTGTGCACCTCCTGGGGCACAGGCGGGCACAGCTGTTGGGTCCGCGGGCCTTTGTCCTGGGGATCGAGAGTTACGTGTGCTTTGAGTCGATTCCATGGTGATCATGACACTTTTATGCCATGTGCTTTGTGAGAATTGGGAAGTCTGTCCAACACTGATGTGTGACAGATTCCAAAATTTCCAAGAATTTTACATCCCCTGGGGCATTGCCTGGGGGGCCTGGCTCCCTCCTGGGGGTGAGGTCTAAGGGGTCTTAGCTGCTGCTTGGAGGCCCCTCCCAGCTCTTACCAGAGCAGTTTAAGAGTGCGTGGGGGCTGTGACCACTTCTGGTGAGGCCAGGCCCACCAGTGTTCCCTGCACATGCACATTGTGGCCCTGGCCCTGGCCCTGGGGTCCCTCCCCGCCCACCCGTGCCTCACTGCTGCCCCTCCCCTGCAGGGCGGAGAAGGAGTGGGGTGATGGCATTCGGGGACTGTCGCTGAACGCGGCCCGCTATGCCCTGCTGCGCGTGGAGCACGGCCCTCCCCACACCAAGAACTGGAGGTAAGCGTACAGCCCACTGCGCCCCAAACTCAGGCCCCACGAACCTGCACAGCTCGCCTCTGACCTCATGCTCTGGAGAGGCCATTGCCCCCGCTGTGTGAAGCAATTGTCTCAAGCTTTTAGCACCTTCCCTCCGTTCACGATGGTCGGTTGTGGCATGACCAGTGTATCTGGACCCTGGGCCGGACACAGGCAGTGCGGTGGGTGGGGAGTGGGGTGAGTGGACCTCATGGGGTGGCACAGAGGATGGAGGTCAGCGCATGGATGTCCTCTGGGAGGACGAAGAAGGCTCCACCCACAGACCAAGGGTTTCCTCAGCTGGGGGCCCCATGGCCTCCATCCCTTAGGCACCAGGATGCGGAGCCCGGGGCAGGCCCTCTGTGCACCTGCCGGAGAGCCCGGGGTGACTGCTATCTCCGCTGCAGGCCCCAGGTGCTGGTGATGCTCAACCTGGATGAGGAGCAGCGAGTGAAGCACCCCCGCCTGCTGTCCCTCACCACCCAGCTCAAGGCCGGCAAGGGCCTGACCATCGTGGGCTCCGTGCTGGAGGGCACCTACCTGGACAAGCATGCAGAGGCGCAGCGGGCGGAGGAGGTGGGCCTGAGGCGGGTGGTAGGGCTGCAGGGCAGAGGGAGGGCAGGGGGCAGGGCGGGCGGGCCTGCGCAGGGAGATCAGACCCCACTGTGCTTTCCGTCCTGATGCCCCAGCGCCTCCTGAGCTGCCCCCCTGCCGGCCTTCCGAGAGAGGTTTCTATGCCGCTGTCTCCTTTCAGAGCCTGGGGTTCTGGGTTCAGATGGGGCGAGCCTGAGATGCCACTGAAGTGAGTGGCCGTGAGGGGGCAGGGACCCCGCGGAGGGCTGCGGGCAGGAGGTGGGGGCAGGTTCGGGTTGGCTCAGCCTGGGCTCGGTCTCTCTGCCCACTGGTGGCCTAGCTCCAAGGCCTGCGGTTGGTAGGAGTGTGGCGGGTGTGCCCTGCGGGGGCTCTGCCTGGAGGGATCACCCACCTCAGCCCGTGCAGCCTCACCCCTTCTGGGCTCCTCAGTCCCCCATCTTCAAATTGCTGCCGACCGAGTGTCTCTGGCCCCCACCGAAACAGCCTGGTGTCAGGAGTGCCCGGGCCGTGTGTTTCCAGACAGACCTGCTGGGTCCTGTGCTCCCCGCCCCGCCTCCACGCCCAATGGTTTGCGGGTTCAGCGTGTTCCATGGTGGCAGTGCCCGGTGCTCTTCTCCCCGAGGCACCAGTGGCACCACAACCCCATGTGCTTGAGTGTGGCAGCTGCTGCTAGACCGTAGATTTAGCGGGGTTGTCCCTGTGATGTTTGCGCCGCTCCGCCTCCGGCCAGGGCAGCACCCTCTCCAGGTGCTTTTGCTCTGTGGACTGCCTCTCAAATGGTGACATGGAGTGTGGTCCAGACGCGCTGTGTGGCAGGGAGACCCTGCCGTTTACTTCTGAATGTTGCCCGAGTGCTGGGACCGTGGGCCGCACTCCCAGTGTGCGGGGGCCTCTCCGGGGAGCCGAAGGGATAGGCAGCAGCCACCAACCGGCCCGGGACGATAGTGGCGTGGCCGGGTTTCCCGTCCCTGCCCCCTCGCCGGCACCGCTGACTGTTGTCACCTGACGTGTGGTCCGGACTCTTCCAGGCCTGCAGCGAGCGTTTTCCTGCACTGATGACGGTGCTGTAAAACGTCAGTTCTCTGTCACAGCAGAGCACGTACCGGCGCCGGCCTCGTGGCCTTCCGTCTCGGTGCAGGTTCATGTGGTTGCTCCTCAGTGCTGCTGAGCCTGACAGGTTTCCAGGGTTCCTGTGGTGCAGACCCTCCGTGGACAGGTCTCATTCCACGTGGATTATTGGTAGGAGGACCTGGTGGAGTCAGAGCCTCCCAGGTCGCGTGGAGTCCCGGGGTCAGGTGCAGGGCACCTGGCTGTGTGCGCGGGCAGGTCTGCATGAGCAGTGAGGATGGGGGCCCTTTGGTGTCTCTTTGGGGACAGCTCCATGTGCTTAGCCCCTCACTGCCCTGGGAGGCAGCAGAGCCCATGTTGAGGTGGTGCCTCTGGCTTCCACCCAGATGCACAGCCCCAGCTTGGGGCTCAGGCTGCAGTGGGGCTGGTGGAGTGGTGGCTGCGTCCTGGAGGCGAGGGCCAAGGGGTGCCACAGTCCCTGTGCACTCAGGCTGGCCACCGTGTTCAGACTGCTGCGCTGACCAAGAGTGTCTCGGCCAAGCGGGGGTGCAGGGCGTTCACCTGGCTTTGTGCGTGGAAGCAGCCCGCTCCCTCCACCTGTCTCCCACCTGTCCTGCCCCATTGAACATGTCTCTGCTTCCTGGGCAGAGGCCTCCCCGTGGAGCGTCCTGGTTTCCACAGGGATCTGGCATCACACTGAGCTGGTCACTGTGCTGACTACGATGTAGGGAATGGTGAGGGCCCACGTCTCCCTGGGAGCACACGTGAGGGGGTCTCTAGGAGTGCAGGGACACGGTGCCGTCGGCTGCCCATGGTTCTCCCGAGCAGACATCGACCCTGCTTGTCTCCCCAGAACATCCGGTCTCTGATGGGCACGGAGAGGACCAAGGGCTTCTGCCAGCTGGTGGTGTCATCTAACCTGCGGGACGGCATGTCCCACCTGATCCAGTCGGCCGGCCTGGGAGGCATGAGGCACAACACGGTGCTCATGGCCTGGCCCGGGTCCTGGAAGCAGGAGGATAACACGTCCTCCTGGAAGAACTTTGTCGGTGGGTACTGTCCCGGGCCGTGTGCGGTGGCGTCTCGGCACCCCGGGGGACACGCCCAGTCGTCTGAAAGCCTCGCTCCCTTCTCTGCCGGCCCGGCCCTGGCATGGTGACCCCATGTGGCTGCCCACGCCCTCCGGCCGGCAGCTCACTCACTGGTAGCGCAAGGGCAGCCTTCAGTGTGCACCCCGGGTGGGCTCCAAGGCCTCACCTGCCTCCCATGCTGGCTGGAGCCTGCGCATCCGTGGGGGGCTCGGATCTGCCTCAGTGCCGGCCACCTGCCCCCTGCCTCTCCACAGAAACTGTCCGAGACACCACGGCGGCACAGCAGGCCCTGCTCGTGGCCAAAAACGTGGACCTGTTTCCGCAAAACCAGGAGCGGTTCAGCGATGGAGACATTGACGTGTGGTGGGTCGTGCATGACGGGGGCCTCCTCATGCTGTTGCCCTTCCTGCTGCGGCAGCACAAGGTAGGATGCATGGGGCGGGTCCCGTGATGGGGGCTGGGCTCCCCGGGCTGCATGCCAACGCCAGCCCTGCCGCCCACCAGGTGTGGAGGAAGTGCCGGATGCGCATCTTCACGGTGGCCCAGGTGGACGACAACAGCATCCAGATGAAGAAGGACCTGCAGGTGTTCCTGTACCACCTGAGGATCAGCGCTGAGGTGGAGGTGGTAGAGATGGTGAGGCGCGGCCCCGAGGGGGTGGGGGTTCCCCGCATGCCTTCTGCTGGTCCCGCCTCCCGGGACCACACTACACTCGGTGTCCCATGTTTGTGGATGGGTCCTCGGTTTACCTTTGCCAGTCTCGAGGCTGGCCTGGGCTGGTAGGTTGCGTGGTGCGTAGGAGGGGCTGCCCGGTTGTATTGTGCCCTCCTGAGCATGTCCTGTGCAGACGTGACACCTGGCCTGTCACAGGATGTGAGCCAATCTGTGTCCAGGCCCCTTGGCCTCAAAGTCCCACCCATTGCACCGACAGCCTCTCGTCGGGTGCTGGTCCCCAGGGCAGGGGGAGCGAAGCGTTCTCATGCCTGCAGCAACTCCCAGGGTGCTGTCCCCTGGCCCCGGCCCTGTGCGCTCACGCTCTCTCCTGTCAGGGTCCATGTTGGACCGCATGGTGGTTCTGTCTCACACTGTCCTGTGGCTGCCCCAGCATCTTCCACGTGGCTCCCATGTCACTGTCCTGCGCTGCCCCATCCTCACTGTCACCCCGCCAGTCCCTCTGTGTTCAGGAACCTTGCAGACGTTAGGAGTCTGGGGAACTGGTCAGAACCACATGGGTGGGGTCCTGGGTGCCACACGGTGGGGGCGGGGTCGCACCGTGAGGCCTGGACTCTCGTGGTTTTGAAGTAAGTGTAGTTTCAAAGCTGCTAACGTTGCTCGGTTTCTCGAGGACGCAGTTGGTGCGGCACGTCTGACGATGTCATGGCAGAACCCACGGCCCTGTCTGATTGCAATCATAATCGCACGTTCTGCTTTGTCGGGAGCCGTGTTGGGACGCGATCGTGTCTCCTTTGAGACACCTACTGCCCTGCCTCACACCCCCATGTCCCCAGCCGCGAGCAGACTGCAGCCGGAACCCCTTAGCCCTATCCTCCCATCGGAGGTGGGCAGGCTCCCTGCGCTCGCGCTCTGCTTCTGGGCTGTTGGCTGGGCTAGCCTCCTCCCTGTGCCTGGCCCCCCAGCACAGCAAGGGCACCCTGCGGACAGCCGGGGCCCCAGGTGCCATCATCAGGAGGCAGGGAGCCCCTCTGCCAGAGGAGAGGCCAGCGTCGACAGCCTGAAGTCAGGGTCACTGACGGGGAGGGATGCTCCTGGTCAGCGCGGCTCAGAGGCCAGTCCGAGTGGGAGCCAGACCTGTGAGCAGGAGGGGTCTGGGGGTTGTCATGAAGATGTGTCTGTAACACGAGCATACTTAGAAGTTTTATCACAAGCGCTGGGGGAGTCAGAGTCAGTACACGTTTGGTCAGATGCCCCAGCCGACAGCTAGGCTCCGTGAGTGTCCCCGAGGTCAGCAGGAAGCCGGCTCGGCTGCCCACTCTCATCTCCCTTCCCGGGAAGCTGGAGGCCGGGATACGCTTCTACAGACAACACGCTTATATATCTAGAAAATCCAAGAAAATAGATTTTAGCGAGGTGGATGGACAGAAACGACGTCAAAACCTACACTTGTAGGACGGGATCCTGCATGTGGGAGCTGTGAGCGGGGCTGATGGCAGCGCTGGGCGGCGGGAGCCCAGAGCTCCACCGAGGGTCACAGGGCACTGCCCACTTATGTCCCGAGAGTGAGACACGGACCCCACCCTGGATGGGCGGGAGGACGCAGGGCTACCCGCTGAGGCTCAGGCTGGGGGCCGGAGGAGATCCTGGCCCTGTGGTCAGCAGGCAAGCTCGGCACACCCTGTGCAGAAGACAGCGCCTGCAAGCTGTGGGCGCCCCCTCGTGCAGGAAAGGGCACATAGTTGGCATGGGGTTCCCCAGGGGCTGTCCCCCGGGCCCATGAGCAAATGCGGGTTCAGCTGTGGCAGCTGTTCCACCACGAGGTCATCTGCTCGTGCTCATGGGAAACACACACGCCACGTGAGCAGAGGGGGCACCCGCTGCTGTCACAGCTCCGTGCTCAGACACTCAGAGCCACATTAGTGGAAGCGCACAGCCCCTGAGCCACGTGTTCACCTCCACACTTTCCGGACTTCCTAGGTTGAAAATGACATTTCGGCATTCACGTACGAGAAGACACTGATGATGGAGCAGAGGTCCCAGATGCTGAAGCAGATGCAGCTTTCCAAGACGGAGCGAGAGAGAGAGGTGCGTATGTGGGATGGGCAGCGGGCAGGCGTACCCACAGCAGGAACAGCCCCTCGGAGGGGGGACCAGCTGGGTCCAGCTGCACCATGCTGGCCTGGCCCCTGAACACCCACCTGACCCACAGGACCGGTCCTGGCGGTCACTGGAGCCATCACCCCCTGCCTGGCTTTCTGAGCAGCTGCCTGGCATGGTTTTGCCCCCATGGCCCACACCCAGGCTGGGGTCAGGGCTCCGTGTCCCCACCCCACATGGGTCTGCCTGCCATCCCGCCCCTGCTTGTGTTGTCCCTTGTCTGAATCATCACGGGGCCTCCACCTGGCTCCTCCCTCTAGTCCCTCCTTGTCCAGCCAGGAGCCACCGAGAGTCTCTGAGGGCCATCGTGTTGACCCATCCTGCGGGCTCTGCTCTGACCTCCCCTCAGGTCACCCTGTGGCTTCTCAGCCACCCTAGGCTCTGCCCTGAGCCTCACCGGTCCCCTCAGGCCCAGCACCCTCTGGGGGTCAATCACAGCCATCTGTCCTGTGCAAAGGGTGACACTAGCTTCCTCACCCTGCACCTGCCCCTCCGCAAACTCCAGGGCTCTTCTTGCCCCAGGAACTCAGGCTCCCTGACTCTGCTGTAGGCAATGAGGAGAGGGCTGGGTGGGTGCTGACAAATGGGTGGATGGGCAACCGAGGGATGAATGAGTGAGGGATGGATGGGTGAGTGATTGGGGGCGGCCGCGCGTGTGGAGCCACGTGGAGTGCAGAGACTTCCAGGTGTGGACACCCCCTTGTGCTCACATGGAGTCTGGGGTGTTCTCCAGGGCCCTCAGAGCTGGGGCGGGAGGAGGAGGCCAGCAGGGGGCGAGGGAGGGCTGGCCCCGGGGCCCCAGCGTCTCATCTGCACCCGATTCATCTCGGGAGCGTCTGGAGGCCTGTGGTCACTCGGTGGGGCTTGTCCTTGCCCTGCTGTCTGGCCAGGCCCAGCTGATCCATGACAGAAACACTGCAGCCCATTCCGTGGTAGCCACCAGGACCCAAGCCCCATCCACGCCAGACAAGGTGCAGATGACCTGGACCAAGGAGAAGCTGATCGCAGAGAAGTACAAGAACAAGGAGCCGGGTGTGTCCGGGTTCAAAGACCTCTTCAGCCTGAAGCCGTGAGTGTCCACGTGGCCCCTATGGGCACGTCCTGGCCAGACGGCCCGACCCCTTCGCCAGCTGTGTGTGACAGGGCTGCACATGCACCTGCAGACACAGTCCTGAGGGTCACTGTCTCCACGCACGTGGATCCAGGCATCTGTGTTTTTGCTGGGTCCTAGCAGCTAGAGGTCAGGGCTTGGGGGCTGCGGACCCCCTGCTGGGACCCCACTGACTGTGTAGGCTGCCCACAACACAAGAGCCGGCTTCTGCCTGTGGTGCTGGGCGGGGAGCCCCTGTCTGTGGTGGGGTGTGCCGCTGGGCCCAGAGGCATGGTGCCCAGGGTCTCCAGGAAGGGGCGAAGCTCTGAGGCCTTGGGCGGTGCGGGTGGGGGCGAGGACACAGGGCTCAGCCCTCATGGAGGAGGAGGACCAGGTGGGCCAGGGAGGGTGGCTGGGGCATGCCCAGTGACCATTTCAATAAGCCTTTGTCTTTTTGGCTCTTGAAGTAACCCGTTCTTTGTGTTTTCTCTCCCATGTAGAGAATGGGGAAACCTGTAAGTGCTCTTGTTTTACTTAGGACGCTTCTTAGATCTGTAGCCTTGCATGCTTGGTACATGCTGCCCCTGTGAACCGTGTGTGCATGTGTCCCCACGTGTACAGCCGTGTACGTGTCTGTGTGCTTGTGCCCACGTGTGGACGGAGTCTGGCGGCTGCTGTGGCTCCTGTGTCCAGGCAGCTCAGGGTGTGCACCCGAGGTTTCGTCTTCCAAGGAACACGAGGACCACGGCATGGGGAGGGCACTCCCTGAGCTGCTCTGGTGCCAAGGAGCAGGTGCTTTGGTAGCTCTTAGCTGATCCATCCACACCCCTGGAGTCCCGTCCCCTGCTCTGTGGGGATAGGTGCCCTCTTGCTCCCCAGCCCCTGGAGCTCTTCGCCTCATGACACTGCTAGCCTGGTCGTGGGAGGGGTGTGGACGGACCCCGTGCATACTCTGGCACCCGGGGGCAGCCAGACGGGCAGGAGTGGGAGCTGCCTGGGGTTGCTGCGTGCCCCCTGCCCCTGTCGGCCTGTCCCCTGCAGCCAGGGCAGCCCTCATGGCACAGCGGTGAGGCTGGGGGCAGCCCTTCCTCCTGCAGCCCCCAGGGCCCTGTTCATAAGCCACAGAAGCAGGCTGATGTTGGTCCATGGAGGGAGTGAAGTGTGTAGACAGGTCAGGGAATCTGTGGGGAGGGCAGGGGGGACACAGGGACTCGACCGTTGCTCTAGTTTCTGTAAACTAGACATGAGCCCCAGGTCAATGAAAACCCCAAAAGCAGGACGAGGGTTTGTTCCCTAAGATGCTCTGTGGAGCGGGGGCCTGCTGACCCCGTCCCCAGGGGCGCATTGGGCACCCATCGTGGGTTAGGTCGGCCTGTCCCCAGTGGCAGGCACGCTTCAGGGGGTGGCTGGCCATCTGGGGCATTCGTGTGCAGGAGCACATCTGCTAGGCCCGTCACACTCGACGTGTGGCCCACAGGAGCCAAGGGACCAGAACCTCTGTTTTGCCCTTGTGGTGCTGGCTGCGGACACACCACTGCCCCCTTCCCACTGCCCCTGGGTGGCCGACCGCCACATTCAGCACGTGTGTGACAGGATCCCTTGTTCTGTGGCTTTACGGCCCAAGGTTGGGAACAAAGACAGGTTTCTGTTGGCTTCCTGGAGACATGAGGCCACACTGTCCCTGTCTGTGCCCCTGTGACCTCTAGGACGCACGTCGCCCTGGAGCCAGGGGCCCTTCCCGCCAGACCCAAACCCCTGATTTAAAGATTATATGTGTTTTCTGACTTCGAGCTGTAGGGCATCCTTGAGTATTACTCATTTCTGGAGTGGCTGCCGTCCCCGAGCACGGGTAATTGTGGTCTCGTCCAGGCAGCTAACTCACAGTTCTCGTAATGGAAGGGCCCTGATTGTGCTGTGCCAGATGCCCAGTCTATAATTTTATCAGGCGAAATGGGATGGAAAGAGGGGCCGGCTCCCTGTTTTCCTCCTGGGAATTGGTGGTTGTGATCGGAGCTATTTGGCTCCAAGGCAGAGCGGGTGACCGGGCGTGGCCTGGATGTGGCCGCTGCGGGCCTTACACCGACCATCGGCCCGCCTGCCCCTCCAGTCTGGGGCATGGTGACCTGTTCCCGACACTGCCAGGCTGCTGGCTGCGGATTCCATTGTGCAGGTGACCCGGGAATTCACAGAATTCCTGGGGTTCTCCATGGTGGAGTGGGGGGCGCGGACGTCTTGGAGCATGCGGTGTCTCCTGAGTGTGCTTCCTGGAACATGACGTGGTACCCGGGGACCTGTGGACACCAGGAGCACACAGGGTAGAGAGCACCAGGCCCTACGGGTGCCTGAGCACCAGGACGCACTGAAGGCGGGGGGAGCACTGTGCCTGGGACTCAGAGGACTGTCCAAGCGCCCCATGGACGCTCTGCCCCGCTCGGTGGGTATGCGCAGAACTGGGTGGTTGGTGAGGACGAGGTGCAGGGCCTGGGTTGTCCTCCTGCCGTCCACTGGGAGTAGCAGCATGCAGGCGGGGCAGGGCCCGGGCCTCTCCTCCACGCCATCCCTGAGGTGTCCTGGCACCCAGCCCAAGTCAGGACCAGCGAGGTGCTGCTGCATGTGCTCTTGAGCAGGGCTATCTCAAGGCCGCGTGTAGAGCAGGGCTGGGCCGAGACAGGCTTTTGGGTGGGGTGGGGTTAGAGCCCATATGTGTGTGAGCGCCTTCCACGCCCAGCACTGTGCTGTTCCCTGGGGCCACGCATAGATGTAGAAGCTTGGAGGCTCTAGAGACAGCCCATCTAGAACTGTGGAGACCACAGCTTTGTCACTGCTGGTAACGTCCCTGTTGGTGCACTTCGGGGAGGTGACACCATTAGAATCCTGGTGTTTCTGTCTGGGACTGAGCCGGGCACACAGGGCTGTGGGTGGATCGCCAAGTGGTCTTCTCCCCGCAGGAACCAGTCCAACGTCAGGAGGATGCACACGGCCGTGAAGCTGAATGGCGTCGTCCTCAGCAAGTCCCAGGGTGCACAGCTGGTCCTGCTGAACATGCCGGGCCCCCCCAAAAACCGGCAGGGCGATGAGAACTGTATCCTTTCCATGGGCTGCCTGCTGTGCCCCTCAGAGGCCTCCCTGTTACTCGGGATTCCGGGTGGGGGCGGGAGCAGTGGGGCCCTTGGGCCAGGACCAGAGCCTCCACCCCCGGCTGAGCCGATGTGGCCCTACCTGGTCTGAGTGCCCAGAAAGCAGCGTCCAGGGGAGTCCAGGTGAGCAGCCCCTGCTTGGGGTGGGGGGTGGGGGTTGTCCACGGCTGCGAGGAAGCTGTCCACTGCCGGGTGTCCTGGGTGGCTCGGGCCCTCAGCGAAGCACTGGGGACATGCAGGAGGTAGTTGCACGAGTCCAGGAGGGGGGTGAACACATCCATGACCCAGACCCTGTGCACCGAGGAGCTGCAGGCCTGGGATGGATCTGGGGCTGCTCTGAGCACCTGTCTGGCTGCCTCCCATGCTGGGCATCTGCCTTGGGACAAGGGCGCACCGCATATTCCCGTTTGTCCTGGACGAGCCACAGCACAGGTGCCAGGCCTGACCTCGTGATGTGCAGGTCAGCTCCCCCCGAGCTGGGGTCACACCTCTAACCATGTGTCCGCTGTCCTGTGAGGGGACTCAGGGACTGTCCCCTCTGACACTAGGAGGGGCAGCAGGCGGCCCTTGGGCTTCAAGCCTTGATTTCCATGAGCCCTGAGGACTCTGTTCGGTTGGTGACCAGACAGGGACTCCGGCCTGTGCGGGTTCTTGGTGGACTCATCCGTCTGTGCCCCGTGCTCCAGAGTGAGGGCGGGGCTCCTCGGTTCCCGGTCAGGCTGTGGGGACCCTCAGGAGCATGGGGGGCTGGGTTGATGCCTCGGGCTGTGCCATGGGCCCCTAGTCCTGCGTACTAGCCTTCCTCTGCCTGGGACTCAGGTGCCACCAGCTGTGTCCTTAACTCAGCCACCCCAGACATGGAGTTCCTGGAGGTCCTGACTGAGGGGCTCGACAGGGTCTTGCTGGTCAGGGGCAGCGGCCGGGAGGTGGTCACCATCTACTCCTGACACGGCCACCTGGGAGCCCACAGGGTGAGCTGGGGGTTGGGCCACACGTCCTAGCCCTCCTCTCTAGGCCGAGAGCCAGCACGCAGTTGCCAAGGTTCCCCGTGGGGAGGGGAGGTGCAGATACCCTCAGCACCCTGCGTGACCCGGGACGAGCCGGGTGGTACTGGACCAGAGCGCTCAGGCTGTGGATTCCTCGGACCCACCTGGTTGTCATGGTTACATTTCAGTTCTTCCCCACCCGGGACACTCAGGAGAAACCACGCCTGGACTGAATGAAGGTCACCTTGGGCCACAGGGTCTGTTCAGGAAGGTGGCCGAGGGCCTCCATCCCTCGGTCAGCCTCCTGTGCACCTGTCCCTGTAACATCCCTGTAATGTCCCTGTTTGTGTTCCTGTGGATTGAGGCCAAGGAGCGCCGTCCATGCACGATGGGTGGCCTTGGTCAGCATGCCTGCCCAGCGTGGGAATGTGTAAAAAGGGAACCCTGGTTCCTCGGGCACACGGGGTGGTCCTCCCAGGTGGGCACATTCTGGGGGATCCCGTGGCCTGCAGTTCCCACACACCAGGCTCTGTGGAGAGGGGCCCCAGTGGCTCTGGGTTGGTGAGGCGTCGCTTGCGTGCCTATACCCTCCTGCCAGCAGAGGGGACCAGGGGCTGCATTTCGATGGTCCATGGACTGACCTGGTCACACCGCTGTGGGTTGTGGTGACGTGGCTCGCTGTCTGTGCAGCGTATTTATTTATTTAAGCACCTGGGGAGTTTTGGTAATAATGAGGGTGTCTGTGAATGAGCCCTGAACCCCTGGGTCATTGGCTCTCGGGCTCCCCAGGGCCCCCAAGCAAGTCAACTAGGTCCACAGATTTCAGGTCAGGGAACAGACCAAGCTGTGTGTGTGTCCCGATGTCCCTGAGGCATGGTTGGGCAGCACAGAGGGTCCAGAGTGACCACCAGCCAGAGTGTGTGCCAAACCAGCCATGGCCGGGCTCGGGGCGTACGTACTCCTGCCCGCCGTGGTTCCACAGCAGCAAAGTGGCAAACCCACCTCCCTGGCACACGGGTCACATGCTGTGTCGGGCAGAGGTGTGTCCCCAGGACCCCATGAGGTACAGCACGTTCACACGGGCTGGCGAAGAGCCACCACATAGCAGGACCACCCATGACCCCAGCCCCTGTTTGCACGGCGTAGGCAGCTGCGGAGTGAGGGTGCAGCTCCGTCCACGCGCCCCTTTCCACACTACTGCGTGGGACCCTGAGTGCAGCCGATCAAAGTGGGTTCCATGGTGGTTTTGTAGCTTCCTTGTCTTTGTATGATCTTGTTGGTAGAAAAATAAATTGTATAAAACCTAGTACGGTGGAGTCTCTTGTGTCTTCAGCGTAAAAGCGGGACAGTGGGAGGGGTGCCCGGTCCTCCCTCCCTGTGAGTGTTCTCATCTCACCCCAAAGCAGATGCAGGTGGCCAAGGAACCTGACCGCGTGGCCCGTTTTCACGGCTGTTAGGAACTCATTCCCTGGGATGCACAGACCACCGCTGCCCACTCACCAGGGGCTGAGACCCAGCGTCACTTGAATTGGTCAAGAGAAGTAACGAAACAGGCGAGTTTGCAGAGAAGGTGTGAATCTGTAGGGACGTTCAGGACGAGGGCGTGATGCTGCTGTGCTGAAATCATGATTCCTGGACGGGTGGGATCCACAGGGAGCTGGCACTGTGGGGACCCCTTGTTCTAGCCCTTACCGCGCCCTATGGCCACGGGCAGGAGAACAGGCGTGAGGCCCTGGGACCACCCCGCGTGGCTGCCAGGAGTGGGCAGGTGCCAACCCGGTGATCTCACTCCTGGAGCCGCGGCCCAGTGACCTTGGGTCCCCACGTTCACTGCAGGCCAAATGTGGAGATGCTGGGTCTCAGCTCCTGGTGAGTGGGCAGCGGTGGTCTGTGCATCCCAGGGAATGAGGTCCTAACAGCCCTGAAAACGGGCCACGCGGTCAGGTCACGTGTTGGGTGATAATGTACAGGAAATGCCCAGAACGGACAAAGCCAGAGAGGCAGCGTGGTAGTGACTGCTCCCCGGGGGCATGGAGTGCAGTGAGAACCAGTGGCTAAGGGAGCCTGGGCCACGTGGTCAGCAGAGCACAGGCCCCGGGGCTTCAGACTCTGTGTCACCCCTCAGAGCAGTTTCCCGAAGCCTGTCAATGCCAAGAGGGATCCCAGCCCCCCATGGCCCCGAACGGTGATGGTGCCCTGACCTTGTGACCGAGATGCTTGTGCACAGCAGTGAGCCGTCAGCCTTTTGCATGTCGGGCAGCAACAGCCAGGACCCACACGAACGTGGGGGAAGCTGCATCCAGATGGCAGAGGACAGAGAGGGTCAGTGGGCCTGTAGGGGGCTTCTAGGCACCGGCAGCTGCAAGGGCAAAGGCCCTGAGGCAGAGGGACAGCCTGAGGGTGGGAGGGGCCCCAAGTGGGGTCAGGACCAGGCAGGGACTTCAGTCTTGGAGCAGCAAGAAGCTGTGACTCCTGCATGGATGCTGGAGGCTGCGGTGCCGAGGGTAGGAAGTGGGGGGCAAGCAGGTGGAGGCCCTGCCGGAAATGGAGGTGAGGGCAGGGAGGGGCTAGAGGGCTGCCCGTGGCCAGGGAAGCCTGGACTCTGCATCAGGGTGACGGGGGCTTCTGGGCATCTCGAGCAAGTCCCAGGAGATCCTTGGAGTTCAGCTGTGGTTCCAGGCTGGCGGGAGGGGGGACAGGTGTTTGGCAGCCACGGAGGGGTGGGGGGCAGGTGGACGGTGGTCATGGAGGGGAGAGGGGGGCAGATGGATGGCAGCTACTCCATCAGGCAGCCCAGGAGGGCCTGGAAGTGTGAGACCCCAGAGCAATCCAACGTGGTAGGAAAGGCAAGTCTGTCAGTGCGACTAGAGACTGTGCAGAGGTGGGTGTTGACCCCAGTGCTGCCAGCAGGTGCTTGTTCCAGGTGGAAGCCTACAGCCCCTCCTGCACCGCCTACCTGGGCTGGGCAGGTGCGGGCGACCCCGCCCTCTGGTGACCCCGCCCACCCAGGCTGGCAGGTGCAGGTGCAGGCCACCCCAGCCCCTCCCTCATGGCTCCACCAGAGGGCAGGAGGGACCGTTTCTGCACAGCCTTGTCTGCAGTTTCCATCAGAACAAAAAATACGGGACCAGAACAAGAGAAAGGAGGAAAGAAGCTCCTGTAACTCGCAAAACAATCCCCAGCGGAAGGAGGCCCTGTGTGCCCAGAGGGAGAGAAACCGGGGAGGTTGGGGGAACCCAGGGTGGAGGAGAGCGCAGTGGACGTGGATGAGCCCATGTGGGGGCACAGGGGAAGGCGGCTGGTACAACGAGCGCCTGGCGTGGCCCGCAGTGGGCGGGCAGGGAAGGGGTGCAGTCCCAGGTGGACACGGCTGCACCTCAGCTTCTGGGCTTGGTGGAGCCCATGAAGTTACTGCCCTAGGGTATCCCCTGCCACTGCTCAGGGTCCCCAGACCGGCCCGCGCCTCCTCCTGCAGGGCTGGGCTGGGCTCCACCCCCTGCCTGGGCCCAGACCTGGGGTGTGGGTCTCCCAGCACCACCCTTCCATGGCTCCTGCCCCCAGGCCCTGGGATCCCACCCTGCTGGTGCCTCTCCTGGAGCAGTGGGGTGCCAGGCAGGCCCTCCAGTTGCCTCCCAGAGCCCCTGCTTTCACCAGGACTTCGCCAGGCACTCGAGGGACAGAACGGTTCCTCTGCTGGCCCCGATGCCCTGAAAGAGGCAGGGATGAGGGGGCCTGGGCTGGGACCCACGCTGTCTCATAGTGCTGCCACCATCACCATGGCCACTGGCTGGGGCAGGGCAGCCACAGAGCAGAGCGGCCTGTTGGTCCCAGTGTCCTTCTCTGAGGGCGTCCTGCAGAGCATTGCCCCCGACTGTCCCTCCATGGGATCACTGCGCCTGGGGAAGCATCTGCTGAGCGTTGTCCTGTTTCTCTGTCTTTGTTGGGGGTGTGGGAGGCCCACTCACCTCCAGTTCAGACGCTTGGGCCCTGCCGGCGACAGGTCATCTGCCTGCAGGAGTGGCCCAGGCAGGCGTGGCAGGTGCCCTGTGGCTCTCCATCCCTGAAGATGCCCCACCATGTGAGTCCCCAGGGGCACATGCCTCCCCCCTCCCTTGCATCCCCAGGAGGGGAGCTGCTAGGTCACAGGGCGTGCCAATGCCCGCCGCAGTAGTGGGTGCTGGGACCAGTGTGTGCTCCCGCCCGCCAGCACCCGGGGTGGATGGAGATGTTGTTCAGGCGTCCGTTTCTCCAGGGGACCCACTTGACCCATCACCATTTGGGAAAAAAGGCCCGCTCCCCGATCACAAATGTAGTGGCTGTTTGTAGAGGCTTGTCCGGGCCTCCTGTCCTGCGCTGTCACTCGCTTTGACCTTGGTGCACCGAGTTGCTTGCCCTGGCCGCGGTGTGAGGGTTGGCACCTGCCCCTGGCTGTGCCTGTCCTCACCCTTGTGCATTTCCGTACACGTCAGCCAGTGTTCAACCGCTGTGCAGAAATCTGCCGAGACCTCAAGTGGGACCAGATGGCTGCTTGGAGCTCCCGCTTTGGCCCACTCACGCACAGGCCACACCCCTCCATTTAGATCTTTCCAGATGGCTCCCGACAAAGTCCATAGTGTCTGTGTTGAGATCTTGTACAGCTAGGCACGTGGTGTTTTCGGGTGCTGTTGTAAGTGGGTATTTGGGTTCTCCAGACACAGGGAATTGGCCCTTCCTCTGCCTCTTCCATTCTGGGCCAGGTGGATCCGGTGATGCCCACACACGCGCGGGGCAGGGGGACGTGGGTGTGAGGTGCTGAGTCAGAGGCCAGCTCTTCCTGGAACACCTGCACAGACTCACCTGGGAGTAAGGCCTCACCACCTCTCTGGGCTCCCTCAGCCCATCAGTTGACACAAACTGAACCATTGTAGTGTCTTTAAAAAATTAATTTCTAACCAGTGGCTGCACTACGGGAATAAAACTGCTCTTGGACGTTGGCCTCATATCTAGAGGCTTTGCCAATCTTTATCCTAAGTTATCTGAAGATGCGTCTGGAGCCTCACCCGGTGCCATCTGCCAGCCATCCCAACAGTTGGGCTGTTTGGTCGGTGTACCTCTATCCCTAGGCCTCACCCTGCCACCCAGAGGCACCGGCCCCATTCCTGGTCTCAATGATATGGGCCGGGCGGTTTGGTTGGTGGTGTGGTATAGACGCTCCTTAACCAGATCAGACTCTTGGCTTCTGGGTGGGTGGGGACATAACCTGAAGGAGCCTCACCACCAGGACCCCATGCTGGGGTCTGTCTGGTCCATGGGGCTCAGGCCCCTCCCGGTGGCATGCAGCAAGGTGCTTGGTGGGGGATGACTGGCAAAATCCAGAGCTCCCAGTTAGAACAAGGGCCCCCTCCTGGACTCTGGGAGGGCCTGGGTCCAGCTCCTGTGGCACCCAGTGTCACCACTCTGGGTGCGTTCTTCCTCTGCTGCAAGTGCACCTGGGATTTAGAGACCCCTGTATACCTCTGGCTAACAAGCCTCTTTGCTGCAGTGTCTCCCACCCTCCATGTGCCTGGCTCTTCTTCTTGGGCAGTTTTCTGGTAGATTCCACAGGAAGCTGCTCCCAGACTCTCAGGGCTGCCCTGGGCCGCCCGCCAGCCACTCTGGGTGTACATGCCCTCCTTCAGCACGCGCCCTCCCCCCAGGAGTCAGCAGTGGCCGCCAGCTCCAACGCTGGAGTTCCCCAGCCAGAGGCGCAGAGATGGGTCTTGGGGTCCAGCAGGGTCTCTTGGGCGTGGTGAGCCGAGTCTGTGGGGTGGGTCTGGACCAGTGGCTCAGGATCACCGGGGAGTTTGTCAGGGACGCCTGTTCACAGTCCTGCCGGAATTGGCACCACACTGAGACCCCCAGACTTGGGGGTGAGAGGTGCACTGGGGGGGGACTGCCCTGCCGCGTTTGTCCTCCCCGGACACTGCGGCCCTGTCTGGGTCCTACCCTCCGCTCTACGGGGGCGCTGCCAGTGTCTGATGGGAGCACGCAGCCCACGAAGCCGCGGAAGCCCAGGGTCCGTCTGCCTCCCCAGCTCCCCGCTGGGGTTTGGTGCTGCCCTCCCCACCCTCCCCGGCTGACCAGGGGACTGTCTTGCATGTAGTGGTCATCGTGGGCGGTGCCTTCACCTTCCCCAGGTGCCTCTGGCTCTCCACTCCCTCCTCCGGTGCTCCTAGACCCCGGCATCCAAAACCATGACTTGTCCCCCAAACTCTCCAGCTGAAGCCCCACCCAATGCCCCACACCCCTCTTGGGATTCCCAGCAGGCATTCTAGGCCCTTC